TCATTTTTATTTGGTGCACAAGCCACTTGTTAATTGGAGGTGGGTAGGCTGAGGTTTTGTGTAGCTTGTAATGGAAAGGCAGACATAACTGATATCAGTACAGAGTAGGGAAGAGTTCAGAAGACTTTTTTTCTGAGGCTGATGCATTTAATTCCTAACAGAGTGTGAGCTGGTTTTTTGTCAGTGCAACAAGCTACAAATTCAAGATGAAACTACTTACCCACACAGATCTCTAGTTCATTCCATTGATTTGGGGAGTGTTTAAAGACAGGTGGTTTTTATATGAGTTTTCTGATTTGGCACTGTGTGAGGTGCTTGGTGGGGACATAGTAAATACATAAGAAGTATCTCTGAGCTGCTGATTAAGTGCACTTTTAATGCACACGTGTTTAAAATACTAAGTGCCATCTTAGAAATGAAGATTTGTGTGATGGTTTGAAGAGGGGTAATTGTCTTCTACCCAGATGTTTTTGTTTGAGGTCTAGTGGTAATTCAGGGTAAGGTTTGGCAGGGACAGAGAATTCTGGTCTGGGGAGATTGCAGGAGAGAACTGAGTTGTGTTGGGATAGGCAGGGAGGAATTGGCTCGTTGGAAAGGCACAGAAAGAGTACTTCAGAAGGCATTAGGCTGAGCAGGGATGGGACTTACCAGGTTGCATTCAAAGAGTAAAGGACCTATCCTTTCAGAAGCTGGGATTGGGAAACTAAAATATGAGTAAGAGTAGAGCTCATGTTAAGTTTTTGCAATTGCAAAGTGGACAAAGAAACACCAGATACATTTTAGATTCCTGATAGGGAAGCACATGAAAACAGAATTTTTTAAAAGGGATCTTAGGACAAATAGAAGAGTAAGTCTATAGTCAGTTGGTTATGAAATGTCTAAACCAAAGAGGCTGAGGGACAATGTAAAGATGTCGTTTGTTCACCTAGAGGTCAAAGAGAAGGAAGAGTCAAAATGAGACCAATGTTTACAAGCCAAGAGAATGAAGTCGACTAATGACAAATAGTCAAGGAAGCATACTAATTTGTAAGTAGAGGTGGCACAAACTCAAGATTGTGCTCAATGCATTAGCAACAACAATAATAATAGTATGAGTAATACTAAATACTTATAGGAAATTTATTATGGGTCAGACATAAATGTAAGATCTTCATGTATGTTTTTATGAATAGCTATCTATCACCTACCTATATCACCTATCTATCATCTGACACCTATCTTCATTATCTATGTATTCAAAAATCACTTATTTACTGGTAGATCTGGATGGAAACTGAAGCAACATAGGTCCTAATTGTGAGCATAGGCACACTATCCAGAATAAAGAAATAACTCCTAAATACTGAGGAAAAAAAATAGGCAAAGAATACTGAATAGGTCACAGAAAAAATCCGAATGGCGTTTTTTCTGTAAAACATAAAATGATATTCAGTATCTTTAACAATTATGGAAATGCAAATTAAAACACACTCACACTAAATCAAAACATAAGCAAAAAAAAAGTCTGCTAAAACTAAATGTTAAGGAGATGGGCCAGGGATTTAGCTCAGTGGTGCCTCCACCTGCCTCTCAAGTGCAAGGTCCAGAGTTTGATCCCTGGTACCAAAAAAAAAATGTTAAGGAGAATGTGCGGAAATGACAACTCTCTTATGCTGGTGGAAACTACTGCTGGAATGACCACCCTGGAGGGCAAGTGGCTAGGCAACCACACTTCTGGACTACAGTCTAGGGAGACTCATGCATACATGCTCAATATGTGCCTCAGAGCTTGTTCACTGGAAGCACCTAAATGAAGTGAAGGCAGATAGATCACCGGTACATTAATTTAATAAGATTCTATTCAACAACTAAAATGCATGAAATATATATATAAAACTCATTAAATCTAGGAAAGATAATACTGAAGGAAAAAAGTACAGATATGAATATTGTATAAAACTATAACAATACTATATAGTGTTTACAAATACATGCAAAGATGGCATGGGAAAGATTCACACAAACTACAGGTTAATGGAGGATATAGGAAATGGATAACGACATCAAAGGGAGGCACTTTAATTCTTCCTGAAATTTTTTATTCTAGAAAAATCTGGTAAAATGTTAACATTTCTTAAACCTGAGTGTGGAGACATGGTGTTTTATTAGGATAAGCTCTAGAAATTCTATGCTAAAATATTTCACTAAAATAAAATCACTTATTTTAAAATATTAAAATGTTACGTATGAGGTAAAATTAAAAACCATTCCTATTGACACATTAATAAGGATAAATTCTGAAGACCTATTTGTAGAGCAAGACAAAAATTTCTCTTTACATAATATTAATGCCTCAAAAGGACTTTGTGTGCTTTAATTTGTAGTTGAACCCAACATCTAAGAGCATCATTTAAAACTGCTTACTATATGCCAGGGTTTTTGGAAGGTGAATGGATCCTGGGGGCACTATACTCATCAGTGGGTTGATCCACTGATGTGTTTGTAGCTAAATGTGCTGTTAGGAGGTACAGCCTGGTTGGAGGGGTGGCCCACTACAAGGCATGCAGGGTGTGGAAGGGAGTGTTCTCGTCCTGGCTCCTTCCATTTCTCTGATGCTTCCTGTTTTCTCTGCTTCCTGGATGCAATGGGTTGAGGAGCCTTGCTCTGCCAAGCTCTCTGCCATGCCATTTCTGCCTTGGAGCCACCTGACCGGACTGAATCCTCTAAAACTGTGAACTAAATAAAACTCATTTTCCTTAAGTTGTGTATGTCAGGTGCTTTGTTGCATTCATGAAAAAGTGACTGATACAATAAGTTTATTGTTTCCACCTTACAGATTGTTTCCATTTTACAGTTGGGGAGTAGGGAAGTTAACTTAACCAAGGAATCACAGTGGATCAATGTAAGCCCACACAGTCTAGTTCCAAAGCCCAAAGCCTAGAGTAAGCAACATATGGTCATCTGGGTGAACTGATCTGTGTGTCCTCTCCTGAAAAAACTCACCCTGGTGTCTTTTCTATCCAGCTATGTATGTTTTTCCAAAATTGCACTGGCAGACCTGGGGTTCAAATTGAAGCAGTGTAACTCCTAATTTAACAAAGGATCAATATCTAGAATAAAGAAATAGTTCTTGAAAGTTATTCAGATTTAGAAGTTTTATTTGCAAATCGATCACCCATAACATTGTGCTATATTCTCATTACCTCCTCTTTCTCTTCCTTAAGATTAGAAGATGTGGAAAATGGGAGAAAAAGGCAAAAGGAACTGTTCTGAGGAGGAATAATGAAGATGTAAAGTTGCCTATCTGTACCCAATGTCATACTTAGTTCATTTCTGGGTGTACTTCACTGGTATTATACAATCACTTGGTGGGACATCTGTGTGATCATTCAGATACTGGATAGACACTGTTTTGTACTGAAAATATTGGTTATATTTAGCATAAACAACACATCTTCCAAAGCTAAAAGTATTAGCAATTTTCCTAACCACTAAAGGACAGAGAAGTTCAAATAGTTTGCATTGTATATTTTAAAACTGTAGTGTCAATTAACTGCCTACTGTTCAAAAATAAATTAAAGCCTGCTTAGAAAATTTCATCCATAAATTAACTTAATATAGATTTGTACAAAAAAGGGAGATTTAAAAATTCTAATCACACACAAAAAGTATGATTAAGGAAAGATTTAAAAAGGACAAGACATCTTATAAATATTGATAAATATTGTGCAATGCTTTAATTAACTGTGGCAGATACAAAAGTCATGAATTAACAGATTATATATAAAAAAGTAACCACATGAATTTTTTTAGCTATTTAAATTAACAAAATGTAACAGTAGTGGTTTTTACTTTTTAAATGAGGTATTATTACACTGTAAACAAAACAGCATAAATAAATAAAAGTAATGTGCAATTTAGTGATAAATGGTTATAAATTTCAACTAAATAACAACAGACAACAAAAACTCTCCAGTTATTGATGGACTTTGTCATTTAAAATTTGGCTTGCTTGTGTACTTCTTACTTAAAGATATAAAAGCACATCATTAAACATGCAGACCCAAGCCAACACAATTTTTCCATGAGTCATCTCTATCAATAAAAACTTTGTTTACATTTTACTTAACACTTAAATCTGGTTTCTTATACATGATTCTTTTGTGCTTATTAGTAGTAACCTACATTAAACATCTTACTTTCTAGTTCAAGCAATACAAGGAAGAAGCAGTTTTATTTGCATACAGATTAAAAAAAACCCAGTAAAACCAAACCAAACCAAACCAATATGCCTGTTACTCTCTTAGGCTTTCCAAGATTTGAAAGGAGAAATATCCTTTAAAATAGTATACTCAAATGGAAAAGCACTTGTCTCAAAGACAATACTAAATGAAATGAAGTAACTCCTTTTCCTCAAAGATTTGTGGGCTGGCTTCAAAGCTATACAACAGGCGGATTAGTTCCTCCACCCTTGAAGAATTCTGCTGGTTGGGTGCAGGAAGCATAGTAACAAGGAAGTAGCCTAACTCAGAAGGAAGTTTTGGGAAATATTATTTGCATATGAATCATATGCTGGTACTAACTGCTGGTTTTATTATTATTGCAAATGTAACTTCAGAATTTTCTGAAGAAAAGCTATGAAAGAATAAAGAAGAATTGGAAATATTTGTAACATGCTAATAAAACTGCTTCATCTGCTATAAATTAAAAAATACCACTTACTGTGACTTAAATGCAGTTTCTTTTTACATGCTACTTTATTAGATACAAACAAAAATGGTACTTATGTTTAGAATCCAGTGAATAACAAACATTTTTGTCAAAACGTTGAACTTTATTTTTATACCAAGCTACACTTTTACACAAATGTTATTACTGTATTCACTTTTGTCAAATATTTTATTCTTCCTTTTCCAAAATTAGTGTTTTAGTACAAGTGGTGATTGAAAAATGTAGATATGTCTTGTACATCAATCAAAATATACATAAAAGCAGCTCTTTTCTTTTGTGCTTGTATTGACTTAATTCATCAATGATTAGTGAAGAGCTGACTTTTTTCTAATATCTTGATCCTTAAGGAGAAATGATCATCAAATATTACAGAGTACTCAAGTAACTAGTTTACTGCCAATGTGCATGCAGACTAATAATACTTAAAAGAATATAACCTTGAATCCAGTTAATCTGAAAATACTCTTGTACAATCATCTTTATTGATTTGTAAAAGCTGTATACACATCTAAAACCCTGAATTTACTTTGTAAAAATAAATCTTTAGCAATAAATGGCACTATCAAAATCCCATTATTCTCAGGCTATTATGTAATTATTTACATGCTTTTCAGCTACAGTGGAAAAGAATCTTATAAGACCCAAAGCCAGTATATCAAAAAACCCTGTGAATTGCATTTGCAATTATACTGTTGTTTACCTCTATATGAAAAATATGGCTACATGCCTTATAGTAAAGATAATGTAGCTACTTGCTTTGCTACTGTGTGCTAACAGCACACAATCTGCCACTGGGTTCAAACTATGTCAGAAATGCATTTTCACTGTTCTTTGCTTTCCCAGTGGAACGCCTGTGACAAACTATGTATGGAAAATGATAAAGTGCTATTAAAAAAAGAGCGACTGGACCCACACCTGTCTCTACTGTGTTGTTTTTTCCTTACTCAAGAAATGTCTGTGTTTTTAGAAAATCATGCCTTCACTAAACATACTTCATATTTGATTTTTTAAAAAACTCAGTATTTTAAAGTTGGTGAGTTTTTTCAAAGTGTTCAGAGACAGAAACATGAAAAGGTTAAAGGCACAATAAGAGGGAAGTGAATGCTACATATAAATATTATATTTCAAGTCTTTTAGGTTACTCGAGTCCAAAACCTTCTGAATTAGAAATTCCAATAATCAATTTCTGTTTCAGATCTTTTTTGCTCTTGTAGGGGGGAAGACAAAGTTGATTGAAGCAGGTGTGGGCCACAGGTAACCTAGGGAAAATAATTTTTAAAAATATACTGAGTCTTAAAATGCATACAGAATGACTGCTAAGCAACATTTAAAAATAATAAGCAAGCTCAAATCTATTTTACTATGCTAAGAGATGACTCATCCATTCCTGTATTGAACATGTATTTATTGAGTACCTAACTATGTATCAGGTACCATTCTAGACATTAAGGTTATGTTTACAGACAAGACAATCAATATCCCTGCTCTGAAATTTTCATTTGAAAATATTTGTTTTGGAGTCAGATCTGAACTTGACTACTGCTTCCCCCACTCACTAGTTAATGGAACTTTTAATTGCCTATTGTCTCTAAATCTGTTTCATCAACATAATAGGATAAACCACCTGATTAGGTTGTTTAAAAGAATAAAAGAGCCATTTTACATAAAATACCTAGCAAGGTAGTAGACAGTATTATATTTCAGTCTTAATTGTCAAATAGTTATAAAAGGTGCATTCTGGGGACTCTAGATGGCCACACTTTTAACGTCACTGCCCTTGCTACACATGCAACCCTCATCTCTGAATCCTTTTAATCAGCTGCCTGAGCCCTTTGTCAGATGGCATCATTATCTTTATTCAGGATTTCTACAGATATCTTAAGACCCCTTCCTTCTAACTTTTTATGAACACCAGAGAACCAGAATAGTTGTCAGAAAAGTCAATGAATAAAAATGAAGACGCCAGATAAAAGGAGAACATTTTAAAATAAGTTCATATAATTAAAAAGTAAATTTTGAGAGCCCCTTGTACTATACAATTACTTAACTGTTTTTTTTTTTTTTGGTGCCCGGGATGGAACTTGGGACCTTGCGCTTGCGAGGAGGGGGTGGAACCACTGAACTAAATCCCTGGCCATTATTCGATTACAATCATCAGGATCACTTAACATTTACTAAAATAAGCAAGTGCTTAGTCTACAATAAGCACTATGTAAATGTGTTTACATGCACTGTTTCATTTCAAAGCAACTAAAAAATAGTTGTTATTCTTTTTTGGGGGGGTCAGGAAAAATAGACATGGAAGTATACAAGTTATACAGGTTAAGTAATCTGTTCAAAGCTATAGAGATGGCAAATGTATAAACCTGAGATTCAAACCCAGATCAGTACAACTTCAAAATTAATGTCAATGAGTAAGGATTTACCATTCTTATTTAACAAAGATCTAGTGGGTTTACAATGGCAGCCTACAGGAGGAATGGAAACTCCTCTTTCATTTTTTAAGGTACTCCTTTCCTGAGTCAGACTAAAATGTCATGCATCTTTGATGGTCAACTATATTTAATCTGTGTGAGGTTCCCACCGGGAATCCTAGATTCATGATTAAGGCATGGTATAATAATAACTGAAAAAGTTTAGATGTAATGTCATCTTTGTATTAAAAGTCTACTCATTACTTTTTACAAATGATATTTTTATAGATATAATAATATATATTCTGAAAAATTAATTTCTGTCGAGCAAATACATCTGTAACTTCAAAAGGCTTCTGTGGATGTTTTCTCTTTTCAGGTCTTCAATTACAAGTTTGTTGTTTTTTTTTGTGGTACCGGACATTGAACTCAGGACCTCGAGTTGCAGGCACATTGCCACTGAGTTAAATCCCCAGCCCTTCAATTATAAGTTTTGATCAGAAACGTCTTTTGTTAAAGAACTGGTAAAATATCCTACTGACCAAGGCATTGAAAGAAAACTGATAGGTAGCTTGGGATAGAAGGCTGGAGAGCTTTATTTGAGAAGTTTTAGATTCCAGAACGTAAACTAATGGGGAGCAATACAACTTATTGGCCAGGGAAATATGATCAAATCAGTATAAGGCAAATTAATTTAATAGGCTAATATAATCAGAATGGGAAGAACCCGAGTAAGTAGAACAGGAATATGGCTATTTAAATAAGCTAGAACTGAGGTAAAAAGTTAACTACATCAGGGTGGTGACCACTAGGAAAGCAAAGGATAGATTCTAACTCTAAAATGAAAGGGGGAACTGATAGGACTTGAAATGTTCAATATATGGAACAAGAGAAAAATGATTATAATCAAAGTTATATCTACTTAAATTAGCTGTGAAAATTACAAGGTGTTTGCAAAAAGGACATCAGCATTAACCCATTAACACTACTAGAAGATAATTTAAAGCCATCATCACTATCACTTCATATGTGAAGAGCATGATACTTAAACCCCCTCCACACAAATGCATTTCGATTTAGTATTTTTCCTAAAAATAAAAATATTTAAATAAAAATGAAGGTTACACAACATAATAGTACAAAGTAGGCTAGGTTCTAAAAGAGACTACAAAGCAATTATTTGACCTGGTAAAGTAAAAAGTTCATGGAAATGAATTATTTTCAGTTAGTATGGGTAATTATCAAAAATGAAGAGAACTTTCAGCCCATGTTTACTCTGAAGATTTTTCTATGAAAATGACTTCAATGCTAACAAATACCCTAATTCCAAATGTATTAGTGTTATTAGCAATAACAAATAGGTTAAATATAAAATTATAATTCAGAAATTTACCAGTTAGTGGAAGTTTCATTCTTTGAGATTTTAAAGTTCAAATCAGCCATGCCTCCTACAGGTACTCTGTCACTTCCTGTAGTAAAATGTAGCAACTTCTTTTGAAGATCAAGAGGAAATCCAAGCACAACGTCCCAAAAGTATCTGCAGAACACCAAAGGAAATTTATTTAAAATATCCTCACAAAAATCTTGTAGGTCATAATAAATTACTGCAGAATAAGCTGAGAAAAAAAACTTTCCTTAAAGATATACTCTCAATGTAAGATTTAACAATGAATTTCCTTATATGAATTCAATTTTTAACATTACATACATACATACATACTAACATTACATACATACTTACATAAAATTATGTAAGTAGTCCAACAGTGGATATTATAGAACCTATTTTTGTCCTAATTATAATTTACAAGTCTATTTTTCAACATAGGGCTATCAAAATGGTATTTAAGTATAGCATCCCTGAAATTCTAGGACCAAAGTTCTTTTTTATTATTTATTTTTACAGTTTTGAGGGTTGAACTCAGGCCTTACTCATATTAGGGCAAGCACTCTAGCACTGAGCTACATCCCCAGCTCCAGAGTTTTTTCCCTTAGCTTTATTTCTTTATTTTAGTAAAGTATAAACTCTGCACTTTGTAGAAAGTTATTTGTATAATTTTCCCAAGGGGAATGCTAAGTGATTTTACATTTAATATTCTTGTATTATATTCTAGAGATGAAATAAGACAGTGAGGGACTCTACAATGTTTCAGCTAACTTAGCTGATTCAAAAATTGTAAATTATACAAATAAGAAAACAACATTCTATTTTGTTTTCTCTTCTACAGCCTCATACCAGAAGTATAAGTAGCTCACCTTATAGTTAGGTCTGTTTTCGCATAGCCATCATATTGAGTACTCCTTTGCAGAGCATGCATATCTAGCTCAGGACTTCCACAGACCAGAATTTCAACCTCTTCTGGACGAAGCAGCTGTCAATCATGATTTATTTAAAAAAATCATAATTAAATGTGATATTTTAAAATTATATTGGAACTATTTTTATTCACTCAAATAACAAAACTCATGACTTTTCTTATAGTCAATCAAACCATTTTTGAAGAAAAATTTTTTCCACATATATTTTTCCTACTAAAGCAAGGCATTTTTGCATCTAAAGGCTTGTATCTTATAAAACAGTAACTAGCAATTATCAGAAAGATAAGCAAATGACTTAGCATGAATTCAGATTACCCATCTGCAAAAGCAGCATGGAGCTCCAACATATACTCATTTGCCTGCCTACTACTAATGTCTTCTAAAGCCTTCTAAGTGCAATGTAGAGTTTGGGTAATCTGTCCTGCGTTGCTCACTTGGTTTTTCACCTTTTAGGTGGGTCAATCTCCCTTCTAAAGAGATTAAAGTTTAAAAAAAAATCCAGAGATCATGCTATCTCATTTAATTCTTATTTCTCCACTTTTCATTCCCACAATAACCAGTGTGTCATAATTAAAACTCAATTAGAGCTCAATGAAGTACTTCTTCGGTCAAAGATGTTTTCAACAACAAACATGTTACAAATGTTACTTTAAAACAAACTGGAAAGAATAAAAGCCACATGCTCCTGCTCCACAGAAATCTGTGTAGTTTATTTCTGTCACCTATGAAAAATAATTCAAATGAAAGGCTTTACTATAACCATTCAAAACAAAACTGAGGGAAAATATAAATAGCATGATGAAGTGTACACTATTTCTGACATGGCATTTTAATCCATATTTACATGGCTAAGACAACTCAAACAACCTGAGTTCACCATGGTTATGGAGATAAACTATTTTCTATTGGTAAGAGGCAACTCAGAATTGCTGAGGGACCTTTGAGGAAGCAGGAGACAGTTATAGGTTTGTTCCTTAATAAGAAGTTGTGGCTTTTGCTCTGGAATTGTATGTTAACTCTGCTTCTATGCTTTGTCCCTCAGTAGTAGGATCTTGAGTCCATGGATCTCTTCATTGACTCTACTTGGGGAAGGTTTTTAAAGCCCTAAAGCACATAGAATAAGACATAGAAAAGAATTTTTTTTTAAAGTGATTGTTTTTAAACCCCCAGAGAATTAAACCTGGAGTGGGAGAACGTTTTCATTTTTAGCTCTATTTTTAAAAAGTAGAAAACATTTTCTAATTTTAAAAGCCTATCTACTAAAATACTTATGAAAGTATTTGTCAGTGAATAGTATTATAAAATCTAATTGAATACTTAAAAAGTTTTAAACTCACCATTAGGGCATTTGAAGCACACACACTATGAAATCCATAATAAAATGCAGCAAACTGCTTATAGATGGATTTGTTGAGAAGGAAGTCAGTATAAAGTTGTACATATTCTGGAAAGCAATTTTATATATGTTATATACCAAAAGTAAATGGTAAATACATATTGTTTTAACTGAAAAATGGTATCTAACTTACCTTTCCTATTTTGATTGGTAACTGGAATTTTATCACCTCCCGGTTTTAAATTATAAGACTTAATTATTCCAAATTCTTCTTGAAAAACCTAATAGGAGATACCATAACAGCATGCTCACTGATACTGCTGATATAATAGGCTTCAATGAATAGATTTATAAAATTTTTAAATAACAGGGTTTTTTCCTTCTTTTAAAACATACAACTACAGAAGGGCTAAGCTTTGTAGCACTTGTATTAACAATGTAGTGTCATGATGGGGCAAAAATATAGAGCCATACATCAGTCTGTTAAATACAGCTAAATACTTTAGTTTGATGCCCACAACATGTGGCGACCTAGGTGACATTCAGGTCTTTGGAGCTTTGTGGATCACTGTAATTTCCATCTGCCAACTACTGTAAGAGCAGTGGAAATAAATGTTTTGGTTTGATCTGTTAGCTTCTACTCTTAACTTCTTGTGTTGAAACTATAGGAGAGGCGGAGCAGAGCGGGGTTGAGCTGGCTGCCCGGTGGGAGACGGCAGCTGAGGAAGATGAAGATCCAGTTTTGAACATGAGACTCATTGGGTGATCATTTCATTGAGATAACTTGAATGACCAGGTGTAAAGTACAAGAGCAATGTACAATGACTGAGGGAACTCAAATTATCTTATTGCCAACCTCTACCTCTTTTGATTCTGCAAGAGAAACAGTGCCTGCAGCAGTCCCTAAAGCCTAGGAATCCAGTCAATTGTCAAACAGACTCATGATTGAAAAACAGCAGGAGGAAGCAGAATGGGAAATCATAAATGTGCTGTTAATGAGGCATGGCTTAAAACCTTTGTGCCTTGTCAAAAGAACAGATCTTAAAGATCTTATCATTTTTGATAAACAGTCATCACAAAAGATGAGGCAGAATTTGAAAATGCTGGTGGAAGAAACAGAATGTCAACAGAACGTCATACAAGAGCTCACAGAAGCTAATCAGCAGCTTAAAGATGAGCTTCAGTTAGAATAAAGCTGAGCAGCACATCAGGAACAACGAGCTAATGACTTGGAACAAATTATGGAGAGTGTGAAATGCAAAATTGGTGAATTGGAAGATGAATCTCTAAATAGGGTTTGCCAGCAACAAAATAAAATGAAAGATCTTCAGAAGGAGAATAGAACTTTACAAAGTCCCAGCATTACAAGAAAAACCAAATGGAGCAGCAACAGACTATTGCTTCTTTGCAAAAGGATATCTGTCCATTAACAAAAAAGGAAGAACGAATTATCATTCAAAACAGAGTGTTTGCCTATCTCTGCAAAAGAGTTCCTCACACCGTCTTCGTCTTCGATAGACAGTTGCCTTGCCTAATTGTTTTTTTTAAACAACAACAAAAAAAGAAACTATAGGAGAGGCTTATTTTTGAAAGATGAAAAGGTCAGAAAACTACATCAAAGGAATATGTAACTACCTAGCATCTAACACTTGATTGCACTTTCACTGATTGTTCATGTACATGTGTCTGCTTTCCTGTCTCTACATTATCAGGTTAAAAGATCCGGTAAGAAGGTGATTGTAGGTGTTGATTGATGCTTGTTAATATTTCCTAACAGTGTTTATTAACAAACAGCACTTTTAATATATAAGATGATATGGCTAACAAACAGTTATATACCCTTAGTACCTGGAATGTTGAATAGAAATCTTCTTCAACATTGCCTTCATATGATAAGAGCTCACTTAATCCATGGGCCAATTCCTATAAAAAGAAATCTTTAAATCAACTAGTTTTACCTTAAATAGTTAAGCAGATCTACTATAGTTCACTTACATGTGAGGTAATGAATAAACTTCCAGATTTCATAATAAATCTAAGATGAATAAATAATAAGAGGAAACTAGTTCAAACTACAGAAGTATAACTCCAGGATCAATTAACAAGCAAACTAACCTCTAATGTGGTTTCCAGCATAGTTCACTGGTAATCTGGTATATTATTTTTATGAATTTGTAGTGTTTCTTTCAACTTACTTACCTACAAAAATCTGCTATGATTCATCTTAGCAGATTTTTGTAGGTAAGTAAGTATAAAAGATACAGTTCACACATTAAGTAGCTTGTACATTTCAGTTACAGTGTCATTCTCTCTCAAGAAAAAGTTGAGAACACCGGAGGAAATATTTTCTTACATTTTGTCATAATTCAAATCATCTATGAGTAAAGACTTAAAAACAGAACACAATATTTCCAAAAATTTTTCAAGTTCTATGAAAAAATTATTTTAAATTATTAAAAAAGATAAATAACAGCATGGTTGGAATGACTTTATGTACTTTACAAAGTAAATTGTCCAGGGCCAGGGATTTAGCTCAGTGGTTCCGGTGCCTGCCTCACAAGAGCAAGGTCCCGAGTTCAATCCCCAGTACCAAAAAATTAATAAATAAATAAATAAATAGTCCATTTCACTTAAACTATAAATTTTTATACAAGTCTAGGCTGGCATGAATCTGATGATTGTCATCATTTAAAAAAATCATTAATAAATACTATCCCATTGTTCATAAGGAAAGTAGAGATCAGAAAGGTTAGATAACTAATCAATGTTTAGAAAGCTAATAAATGGCAGAGCCTGGATTCAAATCTCTGCCTCTCTGACTTCAAGATGTGTTCTACTATTCTCTAAGAGATTTGCTGCACTGTAAATGTATGACATGTTTCTATAAGGGGAAAGCTAGGTGAAAAAGGAGATGAGTTCCAAAAGCAGGGGGAAACTAATATTTAAAAATAAGAATAGCATTAGGAAGAGAAAGAGTCTGCAGGTAGAAAAAGAATGATGTAGCAGTCAAGGACAAAATGTTAATAACATACTTACAGGCATAATTTGACATAAGTCATCAATGGTAACACTGCAGATGCCTACTGGTGTATTTTGATCACTGGGAACGATGGGAGGGCTCAACAATTTCTTGTAACAGCAGGGAGGGAAACGAATATCCAAGGTGATGCTGTTATAAACAGCTAGTCCCATAAGCTATGCATACTAAATGTTAAGCATTAACATAAAGTCCATGACAACAAATTGGTTTTGAATTATGCATCAGTCTATTTCTTGCATATTTCTTTCAAATATAACATCTACTTTTTCATTAGTCCCACAAATTTCCTTTTCTATCGTTTTCCTTTATTTTATGTAATATAATTCCTTGATTACCAAAAGTCATATAAAGTGATGTCCAGTTGATAGAATGATTTTCCTAGAAAACTTATCTAAGAGTGCAACAGATAACTTCACACATTTTCATAACTTAAATATATGATTTGTTTCTAAATTTAAACAAAGATGTTGGCAGTTTTTTAAGTAGCAGCAAGAATTTATTCAGGATTCACTGCAGACTGCATTACTTATTTTAGAAATAGCCATTTTAGCTATTTAAAATTAAAATTAAATATATTGTGTGAAAAGAGCTGTAAAGGTTAAGCATATAGATATACATGCACTCTTGATAAACTAATGGAGGAAGTAGTCTACAATGAAACTTTAAAGGCTTTTGTTTTTTAGGGTTTATTAAAAGTGTCAAAGTTAAAAAAGTTATTGAGGCCCAAGGATTTAGCTCAGTGGCACCGCGCCTGCCTTGAAAGTGTAAGGCTCTGAGTTCGATCTCCTGTACCAAAAAAAAAGCTATTGATGTTGTATTTATAAACTGTCTATTTGTATTTTATTTAATAATTATATGGCAGAATATAACATCCATTTGCTGAAGGGGGTTTTATATTTCACACTATTTAACTATTATAGTTATGTAAAGAGTAATTCATTTTATAGACTCAAAAATCTAAACATATGGGTTGAGCAATTATAAAAAATAATTTAAAAACACTGGAAGACTGACAATATTTCAATTTGCTAAGTAAGATGGAATGAAGGCTGATAATAACATAAGAAATAGCTACACTATTTTATAAGTAACCATATAGACAGAGACTGCCCAGCAAATTCAACAGGATATTGAAAATGTGTTCTAATATACTTTTATAATTATGATAATAGCAATTATGATGATAAATGCTACCAATGGTAACCAATAGTTACCACTTATATCATCTGCTATGGTGATAAGTTTTAAGCACTTTTCATTTAAAATGTATTAAGTATTAGAATCCTGAAAGCAAGTTTTTGGTTTTTTTTTGTACAGGGGATCTGGTCCTTGCACTTGTGGGGTAGGCAGTGGCACCACTGAGCTAAATCCCCGGCCCATGAAGGCAAATTTTTCACAGTGAGGAAGTAGGATGATAGACTTTGCTCCAGGGTACACAAAGGCAAAAGCATAATTTTATTCACACTAAATCAACCTCCTCAGGTTGAAGCAGGGATGGGGTGGATAATTATTCTACTGGAGCCCATGAGGTGCCATGTGATGAAAACAGTAGAGTTTGAAAACCCTCAACTATACTATATGTATTGTCCTCACTCCTGGTTTCAGTGCTGTTTTGGATATTGGCAATTCTACTTTTGAAAACTTACATTATAGCTCTTCATTAACCTTCAAAACATTTTACAATTATTATTGTAGGTTTTACTACAGTATTTCTTGTAAATTCCAAGGTCTTACTATGTTAAAAAATAATTGTAATAGAAAAAAATATTGTCAGAACTACTAGAATAACAAATCTTTGATCGTGAAATTTAAAAGCTGGAGCTATGTATTAGCCAACTATATTTTTATCAATAGTCATGCCTGTTACTTCTGAATCTTCAGTTCTCACCTTTGACAAATGTCCTAACCAATGACATGACCAAAATTCACTATCATTTCATACTTTGCCTACTTAAGAATGTGCTTGGGGCGGGGCAACAATCTTTCTATAGGTGTGTGTATCACATACATAATGAGAAAGTATAATTTAATTTGAAATATACAATTTGTAAATGTGCTCAATATGCTCTTGGGTAATGACTAAATAAAAACTAAAATTGATTATGCCCCAAAGCAGGCTGTAAGCAGTGTAGGCTGTAAAGAGCTAACCCCACAATTGGCTTATTTATAGAAGTGAGTCTGACCGAGGCCTATGTGCAGAGGTCAGAGTAACTCGTGCCCAAATTGTTCTCACAACTAAGACCTTCTTAACTAGAAGGACAATGTTCTAATTACAACCATATATTTTGTCTATTCTGTTCCTTTATTCAAGAATGCTTTGTTTTGTCCTTTATGAGGCTTGCTCACATTAATTTCCATAGAAACCACATGATTGCACAGTCTCGCAATTAGCTTGCCTTTACTCCAACTGATTACTAATAATCAGTGGTTTGGACTGGCCAGCTCCTTTGTCAGTTGCACTGGCATTGGTCATCCTGGCTCCCCACTTTCTGTCTCTCTTAGTTCTTTCAGTTTTTTTCTCAGGCCCACATTGTGCAGGAGACTGGAGCCTACTGCAGAGGTTTCCAGTAACAATTCAGGGGTCCCCAGTAATAATGTTATTACAAGTATTAGAAAACAAAATATCACCCAAATCTAGTTGTGATATAACAATGTAAAATATGACAATCATATGATTCAGAAAATTTAAATAAGTCATGGTATAGTGAGAAGCATCAGTAACTGGGGCCTTCAGTGAAGCTGAAACATATTCATCAAATGAGTACTACAAATAATAGAATAAAAGGAGTCTAAGATGTGTTAAGCACTCCTCTATGTTGTGGTATTCAGTACTTTGGACTTTTAAGACAGGATGATACATAATTTCAAGTTAAGTTTATCTCATTGTGCAGTTTTTTCCTCCCTTCTATCATTTCTTTTATCCAGTCTTTCAACTTCCATATACATTCCTTTGGACTTATTGCAACAAATGCATAAGACACTTCTTAGTTCTTTTTCTGGTAGTATGTTCTAGGTTCTTATTCCCAGTGTGCTCAATGCTCTGTAACAAGCCCATCACAATTCTTTCCTTTCTTTCTCGCCATTCTCTCAGCTTATAATGTCTTCCTCTTTCTAGTCCTATGCTAACCAAATGTAACTATTCCATTTTTAAATCCCTATCTTCTCTGAGAGGAATATACTGAACTTGATGCCATATGGTCATTTGACTGTGACAACTGACTACCTTGCCCTGGTGGTCATCTGTTCATTTAGATGGTAAACTTAATGGTGAAATCTGCCTCCTTCTTTTAGCCTACAAATCTCCAACGCTTGCTCATTGATTTATTATCCCCTCCTTTCTTCCACAGACAATTATATTTTTCAGACTTTTAAGTTAAGGAGACGGCATCTTGTCTATAATCTCCCACTCAATGCAGGAATGTCCTCCACCATACACCTGATAGGGTTCAGAGGATGGCATATTGACTTATAAAATTTTTTAAAACACTTATGTCTTAGGATTTAGGAGTATATTACATTTAACTTCCAAAAATTTAATTTAATAAACTAGATGAAAGCAAAAAATGAAATATAAAAGTACTTTATTATAAATGAAAAATAATTTGTTTTTTGAAAGTATTTTAAATTTCAAACTTTTCAAATAAGTTTACCTTACAGAAGACAATATCTTCAGGAAAAATTAGAACTGAGCCATTCCTTCCAATTAAATCTACTGATGCTATATAACTGTGATATTACAAATAAATATTACAGAAAATCTATCAATGATAAGAATGTTTAATTTTTTAAAAGAACATGTTTCTAAAATACAGATACAATCTTTTAAAAATCTCTAGTCTATTAGCACCTCCTAGTGGAAAGTTTAAAGGATACAATTCCAACCAATCGGAATTCAGAATAGTTATCACACTTAAAGCTGCTAAACCAGTGGCAGTGTGAATCCTTATGATATGCAAACATGCCTGAAAAAAGGAAACAATTTTGTTCACATGATGTATTAAAAAAATCAATGTGGTAAAAATATACACATTTTTCTATTAGAAACAAACTAATTTAGCATTAGTTTTATTATAAACCACTTTTCATGTTAAAAATTTCACAGATTCTTTAATGGACTGTATATTTGCAAATCTCAGTAAATATAAATATATATCAAATAAATGGATACGTTATTGTATTATTCATTGGTATCCTGAACAAAGATAGAAATGGAGTAAAATGATACACTAAATTAATCAGGCAACTTCACAAAAATTATAGTTTTATAGTTTACAAATTATGATCACAAGTAATTTTAAAGATCAATTCATCCATGTCATCCCTATTTCCATCACTGGAAAACATTTTATTTGTATATATTATATATACATATAGAAAATATAGAAGACTAGATACATAATAAAATATGGAAATAAAGAATAAGGAAAAAGCTAAATATTCATTTGAAGGACATTTAATAGACAGTAAGGATTACATAGGTGTTTCTCTAAGTTTAAATTTCAAAGGCTATTTTTTTAATTCATAATTTGCTTTTTCTTAAAGGTAACTCATTATTTAATGAAAGATTTCACATATTAGTGTAGAACAAACTAGTTTTGGTTTTTAATTTTTAATGTTCTTGATTTCAATGACAATTAAATTTTCATGCATTTGGGTTATTCAGGAAAAACATGGATGCTTCCTCACAAATGCACATTCTCAGTCTTGATATATTTTCTGTAGGATTCTTACTAACATTTCAATCACCAATCTAGTCCATTTTTAAAATGTAAATTAGTCTTTAATTAGTTAACATTATGGCTGAAAGTTTGAAAAAGCGTAAAATAGATTAAAATAAGTAGGCTAACCATTATTAAGAAATAATGCTCATAAAAATTAAACTCTCACCATAATCTGGATGAAAAATTTGGCGAATTAGAAGAAGGAACCATTCTTTAGTCAAGCCACCCATATCCAAACCAGCTTCCCCAACAAATGTAACTTTCAACTTCTTTTTCAAATCTGCTCTTTTCCGGGTTAACTATTTGAAAAAATTATACAATAAAGAACAGAGGGCAATAAAAGGGAGATTAATTTTTTTATTCTGGAAACTGTGTCAAATAGTCTTTATCTTATTTATTTACAATGTCATAAAATGCCATCTATCCATTTATCCATCCATCTAACAAACTTGCTAGATTCTGTGGGAGGTAAGTGTTATTATGAGATGTGATCAAAACACATGATGTATGCTGGTACTAAGTGTCATCCAACAGAAAGGCAGGGATCGTCAATAACAGAAGCAGCAAACTGAATGAACCTCAGTTAACAACAGTGTGTGACAAGTTTCAACTTATTTGGTGGAGTCAGTTGTGAGCTATAGATGACAGAAGGTATGTTTTAAAATGTGCCATAAATTGTGGATCAGGAACAGCATACTAAAATTTTATCAATTTTATTGTTGTTGATTGTACACTTCAGATGCCAGCTTTTTCGAGAAATGTCATCACAGGAGATGAAACACAGGTCTATGGTTATGATCCTGAGACTAAGGTTCAGAGTTCTCGATGCAAATCACATAATTTTCTTCATGTGGAAAAAACATGTCAATCAACAGTCAACATTAAGGTGATGCTGTGTTTTTTGCCTGTGGTTGATTGTGCCAGCTGAGTTTGTACCCAGGAACACTACAATGAACTCTGAATATTATAAGGGCTTATTAGAGCATTTAACAAACACTGTATGTAGGAAATGGCTTGAGAAATGGGCAGTTTCATTCTTAATCATGACAACACTTCATGTCACATACCACTATGGTAAAACAATTTCAAATAAAAAAGTACAGTGTCCCCTCATCCACCTTATTCAGCAGATCTGGAACTGTGAGACTTCTGCCTCTTCCCCAAAGTGGACCCACCTATCTTTGTTATTCCCCACAGTGAAAATGACCATGAAAGGTAAAATGTTTTGAGTTGATTCAGGACACTGAGGTAGTCAGGACAGAGCAACTAAAGACACTTATGAAAAGGAATTTCCTGCTCTGCTGTGGAAACTGGCAAGAACAACGAGATAAGTGTGTTTGAGATGATGAAGAGTATTCTGAGGGGGACTGATGACAATGTGTATTTTACTGTAATAAATTTAAAAAATTTTTTAACATTCACCATATTTCTTGATCACACTGCATACATTTGTTTTACAGGCCAGGTACCTTGTTCAAGGTTAGTGTATCCAAGTATCATCTGCCTCTAAAATTTTAGTTTGGTAGACTACAATATAAAATAACTAATTTCCTTTTAACACTTCTTTAACACCAAACTTCTGAAAGTCACAAACCTCAATCAGCCATTTTCTCCCAATAGCTACATGAAGATCTAGCTAAAGCACTCGTACACACAGTACATGTACTTTACAATACATGTATATGCAATCAGTAATTGTATGAATCTCAATAAGCCCAATATACCCTGTAGGCCAGTCCTATACCTATACAGGTAAGTAATCTGAGACCTGAAGAAGTTAGAATGACTTGTTGTATACCTAGCCAATAACAAAGATAGGTGGGTCCAGAATCAAAAATCGTAAGGGGTTGGGGACATAGCTTGGTGGTAGAGGGCTTGCCTAGCATGTATGAGGCCCTAGGTTCAACCCCCATATCATTTTTTTAAAAAAGGTAGAATCTAGGTTACATACTAAGAAACGTGAATTACTCATATAACTCATTTAAGTATTCTACATCCAATCCTTTTCCAGGGAACTAACAAAACACAAAAGTGAATCTAAGGCTCAATTATTATATAGATATAGAACTGATTTTATTATATCAAAATTTAAAGAAGCACATTTATTGGCATATAGAAATAAAAAACAGCTAAGATTTTAGTAAGAAATCATATTGTACAATTTATTTGAAAGCTTTAGTCAATTAATACCATTTTGGAATAAATTATACCTCATCAAGTGAATCGCTAACCAGATGTGTCCGCCTTACTTTCATATTTAGAAATAACATATTCATATCAGGTCTCTGTCTTCGAGATACTTTATCCACCAGACTTTGCTAATTAAATAAGAAAGCAAACATTTTTCACTTTTACTTACACTATAATTTCATTTAAAACACTTAAATACTTTAGTCAAAATCACTTAATTCCTGTCTTAATACCAGTACAATCTTGGTTTTAAAAACCTCATGAAATCAATTATATACATTTTAATTGTGAAAACACCTTCTTATTACTTTCTTTTGGAACAATGATAACCAAATGAGGTAAAAAAAAAACCTCTCACTTTTTAAGAATGTGTATTACAGTTTCCATGTGTCTCATTTCTTAAGTAGCAAAGTTTTTTATTTAATAAATACAAACAAAATGAGAGCATTCAAAACAAGGTATGTACTTTTGATAAGCCTGGACTTAAGCTTTTTTAGACACTGAATTTACTCTAAAAGCACAACAGGTCTACTTTTAGAAAGTAATATGCCAATATTTATCAAGACATTAACAATGTTCACACCCTTTGTCCTAATAATTCCACTTCTGGGAATTCTAAAGACATATTTTTTTATACTGTTGGATAGTCAACACAGTGGTGGCGAACATATGGCATGCCTACCACAAGGGGCTGTTTGTATCACTGAAAGCTCTAAAAGGTTTCCCATCACTGACATAGTATTATCCATAAAAGCAAAACTTCTGAAATATCTTACATACATATCTAGTTAATGGAATACAACATGGCTATTAATAAATGATGGTTACAAAAACTGTAAATAGTACAAGAAAGGTATACCTGAAGTATGTAGGGAACAAAATTGTGTGTACACTACTGTTTTAACTCTGTTGACTTTTAAAGATGATATAGGAAAGACTATAAAAAGGATTTATTAAAGTGTTAACAGTTATGTTTGGGTGATGGAGACATGATCATAAGTTTTAAAAATCTACTTTTCATGCTTTTTCAAAATATAAGCACATTGTATATAAAAAACCCAACATATTAAAATTATAAGTCATTTATCATAAAATCTGGATGCTTATGTATTGAATTATCTAAATAACCTCTATCAGACTACTTCATTGTCTCTGATAATAATGGAAAATTTTTGTGCAGGTTACAATGGAACATTTCAGACATTTTAAATATACACAGCTATTTGTATATTTAAATAGATAAAATGTTAATACCCCAAATCTACATGCAAAGCAACTTAGATTTTGTAGATTACTGTAATAAAACACTCTAATTCAGAACCTTCTCCATAGCTCCAATATCCATTGCTAAAGTTTTAAGTTTTATTTCTCTGGTATCTGTTGTCTCTGGTATTCCTGAGACAACAACCTGTGTCATGAACATTTTTCCTAACTTTTCCTGTCTTCTATTCCTAGTCTAGCTCCTAGGGAGCTGTCATAATACAAATAGCCAATAAATAAATTTATATGAGGATATTAATGGTAGACAAGCTTAATGGCTACTCCTCCCATCAAGAATTCATTATTTACTAGCAAATGCTCCAAATAAAAGAAATAACCCAACAAGAGAATTCAAGACAGTCTGACTGAGGATGTTCTTTTTAGGGGAACCTCTTTTGCAGTTATAGATTGTACTATAAGCTCTTGCTTATAATATCTGCAAGTTTGTCTTTATGTCAAAATAGTCACTAGTCATTAATTCCAAATGTTATGGTAATTTATTAGTTAAAATGTTGGAAAATCTGTCAGGACTGATTATAATGTCACTTGACTTTTCAGTCTCTACTCACTTACTTCTATGCTCTGTGAAAGACATAGCCTATGCTAGAATGAATATCTGCCACTCTCCTTTTAAGTAGAAAAATTACACAGAAAAGATATTTACTATCTTAAGTATGAGTGACAGAAAACTGCTAGAGAAATTCAGATAAACTTCTAGCTCTTTAGATTTTTCTTACAAATATAAAAAATCATAGTCCAAAGTGAAAAAGTACTAAACAAGCACATGATATTATGCAACTATAAAAAATGTCAAAATGACTAGCTGTATAGATTGAGTCAGTATCTACTCCAGATCAACTAACAATTCTGTTGCTAAATATACCAGTTTAAACTCATTTTTAGGGGGGTAGCATGGCTTTAGAATTCCTCTGGGAAGTGTAGATAATAAAATTTCTTCAAATAGTCTCATAGTCTTAGCTGACTTTGGGATGTCATCAGTCACTAAAATCTTTTGTTCTTCTCTGTGACAGAAACACTTTACAGGAAGTTACTTCCAAAAGAATGAACAATTCTTACTTTTAAAGTATTTTGAAATATTAGAATTTATGCTTTAGCATTTTTTATATTCTTAGACAAGACATGGAAATAATTTCTTTTTACTCTATTTCTTTCTCTATTTTAACAAGAATAGAGCCAAGCTTCCTTTTAATTTTTTTTTTTTTGGTACTGGGGATCAAACTCAGGTCCGTGCACTTGCACAGCAGGTGGTGAAACCACTGAGCTAAATCCCGGGCCCTTCCTTTTAATTTTTAAAGTTGTGAGCAATCATGTTACACAAGTAGAAACTTCAAATATATGGGCAAATAGTCTAGAGCTCTAATAAATAAAAAGCTAAATCTGGTATCTATTAAAGCTCGTAACTTCATTGTGCTCTGATGAAAACAGTCATAAAGTGTAGTAAGGAAAGGTGCAGAAATAAACTTCATCCTGCTTTATAATATGCTCCAAGTCAGGCTATCATCCCAGTGTCTATGGGCCTCTACACATTTTGATTTCCCAAGAACCAATAAAACATCTTTCACCTTCTTTAGGCATTTTCTCAGTTTCCCAGGATACACACCTTTTGATATATCTTGTAATTTTCTGGTTGTTTTTGTTTCTCATGAAAGGTACAAAATGTTGTAGTGCTTTGAGTAATTTGCTTTAAGGAACCCTCCTTGCCTCAGTGAAGTTTTCACCAATGCTCTGTTGGTTACCTGAAGCAGGAACTTTACAAACTGAGGTTCAACAAACTCCTAGTAATTTGATCTGTGAGAAACATTTAGTCTTCTGCTATATTTACAGCATAAGAATAAGTTTATTAGATTAGGGATGTCTTGTCTCCCACATTGCGAATGGGTTTAATCACTAACGGGGAATTAGAATATGAATTTTACTTTTAACATTGACTGATTATGCTAGAACAATTCACAAGACATTTATTAAATTATTTACTATATTGATTAAAGTTGGTATAAATATATTTTTATAGCTGGCTTACCCTTGCGATGCTTATCATCTGTTGTTCTGAGTCTCTCTGAATAATGATTTTTTTTGCAGCTATAGAAATAACGAATGGATACTGACAGAAGGAAAACCTGCTCAACAAGTGAAAACAGAAAAAGCAAATGGTGCATTTTTAGCAAAATTATCCTAAGGGAATTTAAGGTACCTCTTCTAGCAATATAAAAGAATTACTTTTGTATTGTGTTTTACCATTTACATAATGATTTTATGTTTATCATTTAATTTCCACAACCCTGTGAAGAATGTGTCATTACTAGATATACAGTGCTTTTATTCTCTAAGGGAAGCTACCTGTAATTTTCTGAAATGTATGTTAATCATTTACATTGTTTATACAAACAATTTCAGTTTATACAGTCACCTATATATCATCACATGTGGAAAACATGGCCAACATCAGAATCAGAAGGCAGAAGCATTACAACTGAAAACTCATATGCTCAAATTAAGAACTCATTATTATATGGCTTTTTCTGATGTAGGAGCATCACAAATGAAAAAAATCTAGCAATAACTACAATATGCAAAAAGCAAAGTAATAAATTTAAGATCATTAAAAGGAGAAATATGTTGCTATTAGTATTATATTTAATGCTATGTGAAATGATATATAATTTTAAAGATATAACATTATGATCAAAGCTTATGAAAATCACTTTTCTCCTAGGTCAGAGTCCATCTTGTGCTATATACTAAAGCCACAAACTACACAGACAAAGAATGAGTGTGGCAGTAATGACACTTTAGGAGTTAAACTTCCATCAGAAGTGACTGCACTGAATGCAACAGTGACAGCTGGAATCCATCTGAGTACAGTCAGGTGGTGCATCTGTTGACTGCTAGGTACAATGAAAACATGAGAAAGAAAGGGACGACCTTAGTATGAACTGGAAATGAGACAGCATTTGCTTTGGGATAAAATATTAATAAGCAGCAAAAGATATTTAATACTCCTGCTATAATACATCTACTAAATGCTAAAAATTAGGAAATATTAGAAAATACAATGTACTTAGTAAGATATACGTTGGTTTTAGTATATACTTTAAAACCATGCTTGTCAATTTTTTCCTTGTTGTAGGGAAAATACTACACATGTGAAATACCCAGATAAACAGATTAGGCTGCTCATGGTCCAAGATGACATGCCCAAAGACTCCAGATCCTGCTCTAGGTTCAGGCTGCTTGCTAAGGGCCAATGGAATTGTATTGTCAAAACTCCTGTGTAACTCAATTTTGGGATACTGTGCTGTGGTTCCACATTAAAAGATGATGTAATTGAAACAGGCACAACTCTTCTGAGTTATTTTGTGGTTACAGCCATACTAAAATGGGAGGAAAAGTAGCTTTGCAAAATAAAATGCGCCAAGAAAACATTCATGAAACTGACCAAGAGTCCACAAGTTCAGTTAGGAGTGTTCAGAGTGCACTGAGATATATCTAAAAGGCCATTCTATGTATTAAGCCCATTTTAATAGAGAGGATCCTTGGAAAGTAACCAATTTATGAACTAAATGGGGGTTTCAAGGTTATTTATGTTATTTACATCTATACCATATCTCTTACTCAGTCTTCCTTGGAATAAAGGCAATCTTCTGGATGTCTCAGGATATGAGAATAAACTATGTTTGGGATAATCTTGCTGTTTAATCCATACTAGAAATGTGGATTTACAGTGTTGAGTATAAAGGAATTTTGTCAGGTACTTTGAAATCTATTACATTAAATAATCTGTCAAGCCCTTTCTCTCCAAGATCTATTCTTTTTGTGCAATATGTAATAGACAACTACTTTTTCTAAAGAATAGAGTAAAAGTGAATGTGTGTGTGTGTGTGTGCATATGAACATGTGTGTGACCAATGAATTGGATTAGGCACTGGCAAACTATGGCCTCAAGACAAATATGGCCTACCATCTGTTTTTGTAAATCAAGTTATAGGGCACACTTATTCCTTTACATATTGTCTAAGCTGTTTTGGGGCTAAAATAACAAAACAATCTGTATAACTCACAGAACTAAAAATATTTAGCATCTAGTTCTTTGCAGAAAAAATCTGTTGACCTCTGTGACAGATGAGAACACATAAAATAAAGTATCTACTATGACAGAACCTTTCCCTTCTTGAAAATGCACTAACCACACCAAAACCAAATTAACACGTACATAAATCCAAACTGTGGCAGGAAAAGACAAGGCTTAAACAAACACAATGATATTTCAAGGATGGATATCTAAATTACATACAATATATAAATTTTTTATTTAAACGAACTTATAAATATTTTATATAAACTTAAAAATCTAGTCATTACATTGAATAATATTTCATTCAGGTGAACAATCAAATGAGCTTTTGATCATACCTGTGAGAGTTTCCAAAGCTCTGCCATGTATGATATTCTTCCATAAGGTCAATGTGATCCAATGTAGAATTATAGAAATCAGTATAAGGAATAAGGGGAGGGTGAACCAAATTGTTTGCAGTATCTGTAAAGATACAGTCTAACATAATGATCTTTTCCAACATGCTCCTGATCATTCTAATAATAAAGCCATCATTTTAATGTCCACTGGCTAGCCTTGACTTAGAAACTCTCGTTTTTCAACAACTGTAGTTTCCAATGAAGAGTAACTTTAATAGTGGTCAAAATTTCTTAAGCAAAACATTTAATTAAAAAAAACTTATAATGGTTATCATAAAAGTATTAAAGGGAGTATTTACATGGCTGTCTACTCATATTTTCCCATCAGTGTGCATTACAATTAATGGGAGTTCCTATTTTCTCAGGAATCACTACTTAGCAGATCATATGCAGGTAATAGCTATAATATAGAATACTGCTCAATAAAAGGCATAAAGCTTTTTTATGCTTATAAATTGTGAAGCCATTATGAAAACAATCAGTTTTTTCCTTCAAAGGAAGATTTTAAAATTTAAGAATACCTCTATAGTACTTTGATATCCTTAAGAAATGTCCCTAAGATTTAACAAAAGAAAAGATGATAGAATAATGAAAACCTACTAAGTAGAGCCAACACTTTAGATGCTGATGGAATCCACCAGGAACATTTTGTTATAGGTGGAAATTCTTCAGGCTTTGCAGGAAACAGACGTAAAGAAATAAATTGCAGCAATCTCTCTACCAATTGCTTGAAACTCTTCTGGGATAATCTGGCAAAGATTTTGAAATCGTTCCAATGAAAATTCACATTTTAAATTTTTGTAATATATTAGTTATCAAACTACATCCTATACACATAAAATTTTAGACTATTCTCTTAAATTCTATTTCCTAAGTTGCCAAAAATTTGAAAAGATACAAAAATCTTATGTTGAAGACTGTTTCTTAACAAGAAATAAAACACTAAAACTGCCACAAGGTTAGTAATTTATTTTTAAGGCTTTCAAAATTTAGTTAATCTTCACTGTTCACATATTCCATATTTGCAAAGTTGCCTACTAGTTGTAACTCCAAAATCAATATGTCTGTTTATGTGGTCATTTGTGGACATGCAAAAAATGGTGAAAATTTTGAGTCAGCTGACATGCACCTTTTCCAGCTGAGGCAGAACAAAGCACTGCTCTGCCTTCTTGTTTTAGCTCTCATACTGTAAACAAATATTCCTTACATAGCCTTATGGCATGTTTTTCATACTTTTTTGTTTTTTTGTTGGTCATTTTACTATTTTTAAATGGCCCTGAAGTGTAGTGATAATGTACTCTCATCCAGTGTTCCCACAAACAAGAAAGACGTGGGGCACTTTATAGAGAAAATATGTATGTTAGATAAGCTTCCTTCAGACAAGGGTTATATTGCTCATAGTCATGAGTTCAATGTTAATGAATAAACAATTTACATTAAATATGTGTCTTTAAGAAAAAACACTCAAAAAGCAAAGTTATGCATTGATTAGTTGACAAAAATGTGATCAGAGGCTCGCATGAATCTAAGCCTATATTTTCCCAAGAAGCAATGCCTCAGTCAAATTTGCTAATTCAGTGTTTATGGTGATGTACAGAATATAACTACTGTGAATAATGAGAACTGGTTGAATTTAAAATTCATTTTGGAAGTATTTTGCCTGTTTAGTTTTTATCCATTATGGAAAAAACTCTTTGTTAATGTGAATATAGTTCCATAAAAAAAGTGTTGTGTTTTTATATCTTGGTGTCAATGGCTAACCTATTATTTTATTTATTTATTTTTTAAAAATTGCTTTTTTTGGTACTGGGGAGCGAACTCGGGTCCTTGGCTTGCGAGGCAGGCGGCAGAACCACTGAGCTAAATCCCCGGCCCCTAACCTATTATTTTAACAATGTTTTTAGGTAAAGTGAAAGTACCATGTAAATAATGGTGAAATTTTTTGATATGCAGACAGGAAATAAAAAGACATGTATTAAAACAGCAATGTCTGAGCAAATCCAGTCATCTTTGAGATAGTATATACAAAAACAAAAACAATGAATGTCCTGTATAAAACTTGAAAGAATAAATAGAAACTCTCAATGGCTTACACAAGCAAAATGGCTTACACTTACATTAAAAACACATTTTTAATTATCCTTTAACATTATACTAAAGTGTATTTTTAATAATTGGCTTTTCAAGCAGCATTTCTAAAAACCTAAAAAACATTCAAATATATTTTATTTTAAAGTTACTAATATTGATCTTAAACTGTGAGGCTATAAAAGTTTTTCATATTATAGAATGATTTACTTTTTCAACCAGTGAACTAGGAAATGGTGGTCAGCTTCCACTAAGGTAGCTATCTGTCGTAGCAAGTGAGCATAGATGACATATGTCGATGTGTTATTAAATTGAGGATTCTGAAAAAGATTTTAAAGACAATTGTGTTAAAATTTTGTTAGCATGTAAAAGGAAAGACACTAAGTTTTATGAATTAAGTGATAAATTCAGAAAACTAAATGAGATTACAAAATACTTTTTAAAAATTTATTTGTTATTTAATTAGCAGAGCCTTTGATTTATGCTGCAATAAAATGGAAAGAGCTTGGCTTTGGAGTAGACAGATCTGAGTCTGAGGGCTAATTCTACTCTTATTAGCTGTGCACCTCTAGGTATGTGCCTTAAACTTTGAATTTCAATTTCCTCATCTGTATAATAATATCTATTTTAAGAACTGTTTTGAGTAGTAAAAAAATATATATGTAAAGCACCTAGCTTGATACCTTCATAAATGCTGGCAATCATTGATATCCATTAAAGAAAAAAGAAATCTGGGTTTTCCTTGACTGAAAAGCAATGCTAGCAAAACTAAATAAAATCTGGTTGTGAAACTGCCACTGTGAAATAAATTGGCTGCATATTTCACAAAAGTAAGGGATCACATAATAGCTTCTGACAATTTTTAAATGTTAAAGGGACACAGAAGGAGTGCTTGTAAACTAAACAAAACCTCTTGTTTCCAAAATGTAAAACTACATCACAATATACATTTCAGTATTTCCTGTCATAAATGTTATTTTAAAAAACTAAAATTGTAAAAAATAAGAGTACAATGCAGTTTTAAAAACTGATTTATTTGGAAGACAATTCAAAATTAAAGTGATCTCAGCTGATAACTTCCATCTAGTGACAGTTATGAGGAAGAATAAAGATATCATGAGCAGAGTGTACTGCTGACTAATATATGTACCATCTAAAATTTTGAACTTCATATTGTCATAATTCTAGCTTTTCTACCTGTTTTTTTTTTTGTAGCTTTGCTTCTTTCTACTTTGACCTATTTTCCTTCTTTCTACCTCAACTATTTCTTGCCACTCTCTCTCCCTTTCCAGTTTTCCCTTTTTATTCTCTTCCTTCTTTTTCATATTTACTTTTGGGTATAACATTGCTATTGTAATATCATAGTATTGAACTAAACATTACATGTTATTTAATAAAATGTTTCTTACCTTTAACATGTTCAGATCAGAGTTGCCCCGTAGTGAAACATACAAATTATAGCCCCATTATGAATGTATTAAATGATTCAATATACCTGAACAATTTTTGTAAATAGTGAAGAATGGTACAAATGTAGCACGTTAGCTAAGGGAGTAATGTATTTCTTTCTCAAAAAATTATAACAAAGATTGTTTTTCCTGTGTCTGGACTTTACTTTGCATGTATGAATCTGTATTTCTCAAGATGAAAATGTTTATCATATATAACAAATAGAAACACCTTCTATCTTTTCATAAGAATTCTAGTTTAACATTACTGAAAAATATGTAAAGAAGTTAGAAACCTAGTACATGGGGAAATAAAAGAAAGTCTCAAAGCCCATTTAAACTAGTTACAGGAAAAATTTTGAAAGGAGAAGGAAAAGTGCTTCCCATTTTGTTTGTTCCAAAATATCAGGGCAAGAACCAAATTAAAATTTTAATCTCTCATATAATTTAGCTTTTGAAGGTTTATTTGTCCTTTGGTTACATGTAACTGTAATTCTAAAAAAGTATCAATAATGTTGCCTATATATGATACTTAATATTTGATATTATTTCACACATGCACAAATTGAGATCTGATTAAACCACCTTCACTAAGTTTTTGTTCTCTTACCTGTAAAAGTATAAAATACGCTCTAAGATCATCTTTTGTTCGTGGGCTAAAAAAGAAACATAACTGATTACAGATGGGTGTTTAATTTCATAGTATCTAACACAAATATCAATACACATTTTTGTAAAAAATGAGTTGAGAAAAGCCCCCCCCAAATTAACCAGTATTATTAAGACAGTAACATGTCTTTAATATATTGGAAATATAGATTCTTCTGTCCCTAAACTATGATGGTTCTAACCATACCTAAAGACTGAGTTACTATGATAGCTGTCACATTTTGTGAGGTAAATATCATGGCTAACTCTGAAAATAGATGAGTCTAAAGAATAATCAACAATTTTATAATACTTATATTTTTGTTTTAATAAGAGACAATCTTTATTTATTATTTATGCATTAAAGAAAGAAAACATGCTTGTGTTTGTAGGTCCATTCCTGAAGTGATATATGTAGAAATATCTGCAAATCAAATCATATTTTTAAAGGCATCTAGCATGTTTTTAATTAATTGTGGTGGTTAATATTGTCAACTTCATTGGCTTGAGAGAGGACTATGAGATTAGAAAAGCATACTTTAATGTTTGTTTGGGTGTATTATGGAGGTGTGACCTGGGCAATAAATCAGGTCCCCGGCCTATTTCCTGGCTGCCATGAGTTAAGTAGCTTTCCTCCACCAAAACTTTCCACTATGATGTTTGTGCCTTGGAACCAGCTGGCCAAAGACTGAAACCTCTGTAACTGTGAACCAAAATAAATCTCTCCTCTAACTTGCAAGTGTCAGTTATTTTGTCCCCAAAATGGAAGGCTGATCCATAAAAGAATCATTTTGGATATTTCTAAAAAGTTAAATTAAAATTTTCTCCACGTTAAGCTAGATTTTCACATTATCAGATTTGACCTAGAACTTTATTATTCCCAAGGTTGATGAGTATTTTCTATCTACTCAACATCTATTTGATACACTTTCATAGTGCTCAGAAGTAACTTCTTGAATTAAAAATGCAATTTAAAATCCTTGCCTGCCTAGATCTTGGATTAAAAAACAAAATTCAGATATTAAAGCTGATTTTATTCCCAAGGTTGATATCAAAAATTTTTCTTTCTCACCTACTCAAAATTTATTTCTATTTAGCATCTTTGCCTCTCAGTCCTTTCCCATTCCACCTAGGATTTCATAAAATTAGTAGCCCACATGAATTATCATGCACAGGTAACAAATAGTATGAATGGGTTTGATTTCTTAGAATATTTTTGATGATATTTTTCTTACCACACTCAAGAAGTAGCTAACTCTCAGTTTGGCCTCAACTCTTCAGTCCTCAGGCACCTAACTGAGAAGTAATAGGAATTTCTTTTCTCTGAAGCCAGTCAATCTTTTTCTCAAAATTTCTCTCTGGCTACTAGGAAGGTTCAAGAATAAATTTAACGCTTACTTCACTTAGGTTACTGATTAATACTATCCTGGATTTATAAAGCACATATATCTGCAAATAAAAAGTTTTACAGACAATTTAAAAAGATTCACAGATCTTCTGATGTACATATACAGATCTTCTTATGTACATATACAGATCTTCCTAAGAAGTCACAAATCTTAAAACAGCTTTGTTGTAAATCATTTATAATCCCTTTCTGGTCCATCTTGCTATTACAACTCAACCAAAATATTTTCTGAGAGTAAAATATGCACACATATTAAAGATATGAGATATATTATTTTTCCATTCAGATATATGTTAATATATCTCATATCTTTCCATTCAGATATATGTTAATATATCTCACCCTTTCCATTCCCGTAACAGGCTGTTAATGATTCCCTTTAATACTGTTTTTTGAATGTCTTGAGGCTGTAGGCAAAAGAAAATAACAAGATACAATAATCAAGGTTTGGTACTTAGGTGGTTTTGCTAACTACATTTATAGATTTATTTCAATAATTAAAATCAGATTTGATGACTGAGGATTAACATAGTAGTATGCATTTTATATCTGAAAATTCTAGGGAACACCAAAGATAAAAGTTAAAATGAGGGCGCAAGGACCCGAGTTCGATCCCTGGTACAAAAAAAAAAAAAAGTTAAAATGAGAATGCTTCCTGGAATCTGCAGTATACACTTTCCACAAACATACATTGTGGTCCTTTGATAGAGTAAAATCATGAACACAAGTCCAACAGTAGTACGTTTAGCAATTTAAAATGGTTACAATTAGCAGTTAAACCCATACTTCACTAGGAACAACTATTAAATTAAAACATTAACTGATGTTTAATTTAAAATATGGTCAGGTATTTTTTCATTATAGAATAATTTGGGAAAGGTATAAAATAATATTATTTTATAGTTTAATAACTGAAGCACTAGAAAAATCTTATTTATTACCAAATATCTCAAATAAGACTGAATGAAAATAAAATACATCTAGATGGTACTTTGCATTACAATAGAAGAAAAGCTGCATTAACCAGAAGATTCAAATAATCAGAAAAAAACTGTATAATGAAATAGGTAAATGTCAAGAAAACAAACATATATTATGAATTTATTTAAAAACTACTACTGACTTCTATTATGCTTTAGATCTGTAATGTTCCCAAAAGGCCTGTGTTCAGAAGTGGGGCTTTGGAAGGGTGAATGGGGTCATAGGTGGATTAATCCATTGATGAGTTCATATAGTTAAATGTGCTGTTAGAAGGTGGGGCATGGTCTAAGAGGACAGGCTAATGACGGAATAACTTGGAAGGGTGTATTTTCCTTGCTTCTCCACTTCTGTCTCTGCTTCATGGCTGCTATGGTTGAGCTTTCCTCCACTATACTCTCCCACCATGTTGTTGTACTGACTACGTGGTCCAGAAGCATTTGGAACTGGTTTGCGAGAGGAGTTTGGAAAAGTTTGGAGATATAAGCTAGAAAAATCTTAGAATATTGTAAGCAAAGCTAGACGAGTGATTCCGATTGGAGCTCAGACTAGAATGTTCATAGAAATGTGGATAGTAAAGGCCACCCTCACAAGGTTTCAGTACACTCTTACAATCACAAATACCTCACTTCTTGTTCTTTCCTCGTTTGAAAAGAAACATCAAGAAAAAAAGGGAAGGAGACAAAACCAAGTCAAATATTCCTCCTTATGGTGGAATTTATATTAATGACTAAATTATAAATTAGCTCAGATTACTTCTCTGCCTCCATTCAAATAGGAGAGGCTTTATAGAGCTTGTGGGAGGTGGAGCTGCACTTGGGTAGATTGGCTGTGGGTAAATTAATTCCCAACAATTGACTTAAACTCTTCTGCACCTGGGAGTGACTGGGTCTGAGGATCCAAACAGTCCACTGAGTCTGCTTCTCCTGCACTTTGCAGGCAAGTTTGGAGGGTGGGCCAATCAATACTCCTCAAAATTCTAGTCCAAGCTGGACATACCTGGCCAGTTACTATGCCACTGTCTTTAGAGTAAAGTGAACACTCCAACTTGCCCTTCTTCTATCTCTGCAGTTAATGCAGGCTGTTTCTCTGCACTCCCAGTGCCTGAAGGTCTTCACTGTCCCAAACCTCTGAGTTTATCTTAGCATTTGTTTCCTTTTGTGTTCAGCACCAACAAGAAGATGCCTGGGCAAAAACTGTCCAGTCTAGCATGACTTCTCTATCCCCTTAGTCTCTTGAGAAAGGCTTGGACTTTGGACTTGCTTTGGGAACACAGCTAATGAACTGGGTAGAACTTTGATAATATTGTCTCAGATTCTGGGCCATTTCCTAGTTGGTAAACTATGTGGTTGGCAGTGTGGACAATGTCAATAAGGGTAAATGCCCACCTGAAGCTGCCTCCTGCCTTCTTCCTATTTTTATGTGATTCTGAATGGCCTGGTTTTCACAGGGGAAGCTGCATGGTTCTGTCGTGCTGTGGACAACACCATCTCTAGATCTGTGATGGGAACAGCACTTGGTTTCTGGACTAGTTTGCTTCTTATTCTCCCTTTCTCTTTTTCTGTAGTTCAACTGTTTGCTATGCCATTCAGGTTGTGTTCTAGTGGTTGGTGTTTCTACCACCTGAGGTAGCCACACTCTGGCCTTGACGCCTATCTTAGAGCCTACCATTTGCGCTGCTTCCTCTACTCTGCCAAGGCCATTCTGTTCCTATATGATTAAGTTTTTGCCCTACTTGGCTTTGGTCTTTCTTTGGTACAACTGCTTTCTATTCCCCTATCCCTCCCTTTTGGAATTGCAATGTTTATGATACACCATTGTATATTCAAAATATTTAACTTTGTTTTTTGATTTTTACAGGTGCTCACAATTGAGAGTTTACTTTGAGTTTGGACTTAAGACTTTTCAGCAATGCTGGAACTGTTAACACTTTGGTGACTCTTAGAGATGGACTAAATGCATTTGGCATGATAAGATGGACATGAGCCTTTTGGGGCGCAAGGGCAGAATGTTATTGTTCAGATCTGAAATGTTTCCCAAAGGTCTCGTGTGTTCAGAGGTAGGGCTTTTGGAAGGTGGTTGGATCATGGGGGTGCTATACTCAACAGTGATTAGTCCACTGATGAATTCATAGCTGAATGTACTGTTAGGTGAGGCCTGGTTGGAGGGACTGACTTGGAAGGGTGTAGTCCTGTCCTTGGCACTTCCTTTCTCTGTTTCCTGGCTGCCTTGGGTTGAGCAGCTTTGCTCCACACCATGTCTTTGCTGCTTTGGAGCCAGCCAACCAACCATGCATGAACTGAACCCTCTGGAATCATGAATCAAATTAAAACTCTCTTTTATGTTATGGGTGTTGGGTATTGTGTCTCAGGGACAAGAAAGTAATACAAATTCCAAGACATCTGTCAACACTCATTTGACCTTGCTCTTATGATACATATGTATTTAATATATCATTCATTTCTCTTCCTTTGCTTACAGTGACTTTTCATACTCAGAAGGCAAATGTTATTCTGCTCAACTACTTATTTAGTGTCTGCTCCTGGGCAATAGAAGGCTTGCAGGAGAAAGATCAAGCAAAACTGATCAAACACACTAAGTTTATGACTATAAATCTCAAAAGGACACTCAATGACACTGATACTACTACACATCCCTAGTTCATTTACTTCCCCACTCCTTAAGACAAATAATATTTCAAAACTGCTTCTCATCTAATTTTTTTATATTTCATAAGACTGACATTTTTGAAGGGTTTAAATTATTTGTTTTGCTGAATATCTCTTAATTTGAGGGTTTTTGCTACATTCTCATGATTATATTTTTGGCAGGGGAACTCATATATGATGTGTCCTTCTTAGTGAATCACATTAAGAAGCATCTGATGTCAGCTATTAGTTTGATGGTTTAGCTAAGATAATGACTGACTCAGTTATTACTATGATAGTTGTAAATCTTAATTGTTTTACTTTATCTTTATTAGGTTTGTGTCTAGATGTCCCCCCAAAGCCTCATGTGGTCATATGCCATTTTGGAGGTGGCTGAATCTAGAGTGTATGATTGATTTACGGTGGAGGTTGGCCTGAGGGCACTATGATTAAGGGCATGAGGGCTTCCCGCCCTAAGTAGTCTCAATAAGATAAAAGGGGCAGAAAGATGCTTTTAAGGGTTAGGGGTGCCATGAGTTATTCCTCCTTTGCAATGCCCCTCTGCCATGTGCCACTCTGCCTTGGAGCCAGCTGATTATGGACTGAAACTTCTACAAACTGTGAGCCAAATAAACCTTTCCTCCTTTAACCTTGGGTGTCTGGTATTTTGCCTCAGCAATGAGAGAAAAGTAACTAATACAGTAATGGACTATTTTTTAAGGTAGTCTTGGGATTACAGAAAAATTGTGCATAAGGTACATAGTTTCCATATAAACCCACCCTCATCCTTCACATGTCCTAGGGTGGTGCATCTGTTATAACATATATATATATATACACACACACACACATTCGTTATAACATACACACATATACATATATAGTATTATTAACTAAGGTCTACAGCATTCATTCCTTTCATTGTATAGTTCTGTGATTTTTGAGAAATGCATAATGTCATGTATTTGTCATTACAGTATCATAGAGAATAGCTTCACCACCTTAAAAATCCCGTGCTTCACCTATTCATCCTTCCTTTTCTCCTTCCCTTCTAAAGCACTGATCTTTTTACCACCTTTTCTAAAATATCATATAGTTAGAATTACTTAGTATGTAGCCTTTTAAGCTTCTTTCAGTTAGCAATGTGTATTTAAGGTTTCTGTGTGTCTTTCTGTGAAATGTAGCTCATTTCATTATACTTTTGAGTACTTCATGGTATAAATTTTATTGATCCATTCACCTACTAGAGATCTTGGTTGCTTCCAATTTCTAGCAACTATGAATAAAGTTGCTATGAACACTGTGTGCAGATTTTTAGGCAGACATAAGTTTTTAACTCATTTTGGTAAATTCTTAGAAGCACAATTGCTGGATCATATGGTAAGCTGGGTTTAGCTTTGAAAGAAAATTAAAATACAACTTATTAAAATTTGTGGGATATAGTGAAAGTGGTACTTAGAGAGAAATGTTTAACACTGGATGAATATATTAGAAATAAAACATATAAAATAAATTAAACTTCTACCTTAGAAACTATAACAAAAGAGCAAGTAAGCAAAAGACATAATAAAAATAGGACACACATGTATAAGTACCAAATAGTTTCTCTAGTGTGAGAAACTGAAAGTGTAAATAAGGACTAAAAGGTATAATAGATAATGTGAAATAGGAAGAAAAGGGGCAAAGGGGAAAGGGAAGTGGAAGGAGTAGGGGAAAGGAAAGAAGGGAATGGAATTAATATAAGAAAATGAAAATATGGAAACAAAGTCTTTGTAACAGGGGGAGGAATAGATGGGTTGAAGGGAGGGCAGGGGAAAGGGGAAACATAAGAACCAAGAGAGATTATGTAAAGGTACAAATTTCCAGTGATGAATGTCATTATACTGTATACCTAAAATGTACCAATAAAATAAAAATTAAAAAAAAATCAGAGCAGACATTAATGAAATTGAAAACAGAGAAGTATTAGAGAAAATCAACAAAACAGTAAGTTGTGTTTTTTGAGTTCAATAAAATTGATAAAACTCTAACCAAACTAGTCAAGAAAGGAAGAGAGAAGACACTAACTACTACCCAAATTAAAAAAAAATCATCACTTCTGATCACATAGGTATTTAAAGAATAATAGAGCACATTATGGTCAATTCTATGTTCATAAATTTAATAACCTAGATGTGTCTTTGAAAGGCATAGTGTTCTACAATTTATGCAAGAAGAAACAGATGCTTTTAACACACCTAGACCTAATAGGCCTAACTGAATCAATAATTGATAACCTTCTAAAAAAGAAAGCACCAGGCCCAGATAGTTGAATTCTACCAAATATTTAGGGAATAGATACCAATTTTTTACAACTTTCCCCAGAAAACAGAAACAAAGAGAACATGCATTTTGTGAGGCTAGCATGACCCTAATAATAGATATCACAAGAAAGTAAAATTATAGAACATTATCTCTAATGAACATAGATGTAAAACACTCAACAAAATATGAGCAAATTGAAACAACTAAAGAATTGTACACCATAATCAAATAAGATTATTTCCAGGTATGCAAAGCTTGTTGAATATTTGAAAATCAATTTAAATAATGCATCATATCAATAAACTTAAAAAAGAAAAATCACATGATCATCTCAATGGATGCTGTTATGAATTGGATCTAAAATATTCCCCACAAGGCTCCTGTGTTGGGAGTTTAGTCTCCAATGCAGGAGTGTTCAGAAATGGGGCTTTTACTAAGTGACTGGATCACAAGGGCTCTAACTTCATAGCTCAATGACTTTATTAGAAGGTAGAGCCAAATTGGATGAAGCAGGTCATTGAGGGGCATGGCTTTGAATGGTCTATTTTGTTCCTGGCTCTTTTGCTTTCTGCTTCCTGGCTGCCATGAGGTGAGCAGCTGTTTCACCATGCTCTATCATCACGGTGCTATTGGTGTGTTAACAGCCTCTAGACCTTTGTGGTTCACAGGGCTAGGAAACACACACACACACACACACACACACACACACACACACACACACACACACACACACACACACACACACACCCCTCTAGATCTATTAAAAATCATGAGTTCATTTTGATGTCTCCAATTCCAATTCAACAACCAAAGTTATTTTTGGTTTTCCACCATCCCATACTTGTACCTCCTTTCTCCAAAACAGAAAAACACGGCTCTTGGTATCATAAATGTTTACTCATTTGTTTAGTACAACAATGCAAAGAAAGCATTTTCAGAACTGTTAACCCATACCATGGGGGACAGGGAACTACTAAGAAGAAAAGCTGAAGACTTGTTTAGAGTTTTCGGTGTTTTTTTAGATCTCTAAATTGAAGATACACAGTTAAAGTACTGTGGTTAAAAGTTACTTTGCTGGGCCAGGGATTTAGCTCAGTGGTTCCACCACCTGCCTTGCAAGCTAAGGACCCAAGTTTGATCCCCGGTACCAAAAAAAAAAAAAGTTACTTTGCTGATTGTTTTAAAATATGGTTAAGTATTCAAAATATAATTAAGTCTTCTTATTTGAAATATATTTAAGTTTATTTTCTATTTGCATTCCATTTTCGGATGGTTTTCTCTCATGTCTGTATATAAAACGTGAATATCATTAGAAGTCAAAAGAAGTGTATTTAGAGGTGGAATTACGAGTCAAAGTGTATGTATACGCTGAGGGTCAGCACATAATACCAAGCATTCTCCAGATTGCATGCACCAGTTTTCACCTCATCAAGATATGATAATTCCAATCACTGCCTAATATAGCCAGTATGTGATAAGGTTTTTGAAAAAAATTTTATTAAACTTGATGAATGTGTTATTTCCACTGCTCTGATTTTTGGTGCCCTTTCGTATATTTAACAGTGAAGTACTCAGATTGGTAATAAGACAAAGAGGTCAGCTATTACTTCTTCTATATAAAATTATACAAGCAATCCTAACCAGTGCAATAAGGCAAATATGTACATACATCATTTAAGATGTAAGAACTGGGAAAGGACAAAATTCACATTTTCCACAAATGACATGATTATGTATATAGAAAATCCAAGTGAACTTACTGATGTACTATTGGAATAAATGAGTGAATTTAGCAAAGTAACCAGGTAAAGATATATAATATATACATATGAAAATATTGCTATATATTAGTCATAATTAGAAAAGTAAAGTATGATAGTATCAAAGAAAGATCAAGGGCCTAGAAATACATGTAATAAGAAATGTGTAGTACCTCTACTCAGAAAACTACAAAACATTACTAAGAGAAATTTTAAAAGATTTAGGTAACTGGAGAGCTACACCATCTCATGGATAGAAGGTATGTCAATTTTTCAAAACCTGATCTATTCTCTTGAATTCTCAAAATGTGGTCCCTTGATCAAAGACATCAGGATATTCTGGGAAGTTGTTACAAATGAAAATTCTTGAACACTACCCATAATCTACTGAATTTTACACTGCATATGAGTTTTGTATTTTAATAATCATTTCTTGTGATTGATGCATCCCATGATTTGAGAACCACTGTTCTCTACGGTCAGCACAATTCCAATATAATCAAATAATATTGTCCCTAAGTGAAACATAATTTTAAACAAAGATTGAATGAAAAGTATTTTGTACTTAATTCTCAGTTAATTAGAAAAATAAAAGAATAAGATGACCTAAATTTCTGAGGATTCCAACTATTCTTATTATAAAATTATACCTACCAGTTTCTAATTATGCTACAAAGTAATTATGCTACAAAGTGATCTCTATCTTATATGGCTGCATTTGATATATAGAAGAAACAAAAAATTATACTATTTGAATGTATCTATAAATAATACTTACAGTATTTAGCAAAGCATCATAAACAGCATTCACAAATTTAGCATTAATTCCAGAGTCTTCGATGGTATTAAATGAGGCAGTGACATCTTTCTGAAAATTTAATTTTAAAATTATGTGTATATAACATTTTAAAGACTATTCTTAGTTATATTTGATTAGTATCATTTCTTGAAAATTTCTACTATTGAGCAGTCTAATAATAAAAGAAAGAACTGTTAGGGCAGAATGCTGAAAATAAAAAGGACTGTATAAGGCCTGTTTTAATAATCTTTTAAAAACTAAAAACATGGAGTAAAACATTTAGTACAAATAAAAACACTATTTAAGATATCATTTAAATAATATTTGTCATACATGTAACAATAAATCAAAATATGTTTATACTGTTGGCAAAGTGAATACTAGGTAGAAAACTAGATAAATCTGTCATATCTTTTTTGAAAAATTTAAGACTGAAAGTGAATGGAAAACATGCTTTATGTATTTATTACCTTAAATACAGTATTTAATTCTGGGAAAGAATCAAATGTTGTTAGATAAAAATCATGTACTGTTTTCCAGTCTCCTGATGATTTAACTTTTTCTACATCTTCCCTAAAATAAAAACATACATTAACCATACGTATAGAAATATTTTTCAGATAAATGAGCATTCCTTTTTATAAATAATTTCACCAAACATGCAGTCTGAAATACTGAAACCGAACATACAAATCTGTGTTAATGTAATTATATAGTTTATGAATTTATTCTTAATGAGGTTAACATAGTAATCTATTTTCCACTGCACTGCTTTAAAAAACAGTTCATTCTTGACATTCCCCTTCTAATTATTACTCTTTCTTCACAGTCAAACTTCTAGAGATTCTGCTTATAATCTGTGTCTCAACAAGTTTCTCATTCCCACTTAGTCCTTCAAATTTTTAATTTTTGAGTGATGACATACCTTTTATTGCATGTGTTACATAGTAGCTAATTCTTTTTTTTAAATAGCAACATACTATTATTTTATTATATTTATCACTTTTTGCCTACTTTGAGCCATATTTTCTCACTTAGTGTTTCTTTTCTTTTGTTTCAATGTCTATCCCATACCCATTATTCACATATTTGTTTTCACCTTCAATTTGAGGATTCTAGTCTTTAGTGATGTCACTCTTGGTTAATAACTTATAAAGATCCACAAATCAATTAATTTCTTAACACAACAACATTAAATTACATTAAAACATTTCCAGATGATTATAAGTCTAAATATAAAAGTGAGTTGAAACTTACTGAAAGTCTTTCATAGTTTTGGGCTGAACAGGAAGGACAGGTTCTGAAAGGACTGGTGCCTTCATTTCAGATGACAATGTATCTATAGAAGTTCGCTGTTTTTGTCTAACATCAAGGGAAACTGGTGGTAGGTCTCTCACTGTTGAGTATTAAGAAAGCATTCAATGTAATTAATCATAAAATTTTTCCAAATTATAAAATGCCAGGCTAATTCAACATGAACAGAAACAAATGAATTACTGTATATTGAATTCATTTTGTGATCATGTAACAGAAAAAACCATCATTATAAAGGGCATGTAGTAGTGGGCTTATCTTCCTACCATCACTAACAATACCTAGTGATAGCTATAGAGCTTTAATGTAATGTATGTATTTAATATAGTTTCTTCTCCCTCTTCCCCTCAAAGGTCATTTATCAATTTTAGTTTTTCCCTTCCTTCCTTCCTAAATGTTGTTTTTCAAAAAATATATTTCATATCCTTAATGTTTATTAGCTTTTTGAACATATGCAAATAACTTATGTCCTCTATAATTCTTTATTGGAATGTTGGCATTTTCTTATCAGTTTGTATAAAATTCTGGTTTTCTTCTTTGGCAAATATTTGCCAATGTGTTGTTTGCCTTTTTGTTACATTTCATAACCTTCTAATGGTAAAATAAACAAATACAGGAAAGAACTCACAAAACAAATGCATGGTTTGATAAATTATTATAAAACAAATTTACAATCTTTGAAACCACAAATTAATTGTAACCTGTCTCCCTTTTGTTCCAATTACTGATAAGGTGGGGTGTCTATTTCTCTTTTAGTTCATTTCTTTGAAATTCTTTTTTACTTCTTTCTTCAATTTTCCTTAAATTTTCAATGATTTCTTCTTTTTATCTTTTAGTTGTTTTAAGGGTTTATGTATTACATAAACATTGGTTTATGGTGGCATACATCTGTAATCCCAGCAATCAGGAGGCCGAGGTAGGAGAATCCCCTTGAGTTTAAGGTCAACCTGTGAAAATAGTGAGTTCAAGGCCAACCTGAACTACATAGTGAGACCCTGTCTGGTAAAACAAAACAAAAAATAAACAGTTTGCTTTGTGTACCTTTTAATTTCTATTTTCTTTCATATTTCTAATTATTCCCTTATATTGTCCCTTTTGAGTTATTATAATTTGACTTATGTTGTCCTTTGAAGTGTTATATCATTTTTAATACAATTATGTTTTGAAATTTTTATTAATAAGAAAGAAAAGAGGACTTCAGCAGAAAAGAGATTAAAAAATAGTTGTTTCCTCTCTTCAATACTAGTCTTTATCACTATTATTCTTTGTGGACCTCTACAGTTTTTCTTCCTCTTTACTAGACTTGCCCTTTCCTATCCCTTCCCACACACACACCTTTCCCAATTTCGGTATAAACACCCACTATTAAAATACAAACAGACACATTTAAATATAAATTGACTTAATTCACTCCACCAAACATATAAATATATTTTTATACCCACTCATTTTATTAATATTGTGCTGTGGTAGAAGAAGAACACAATTTGAATTGTTAAGAGAAATGGATTTTCACGGAGCCTGAATGGGGATAGCCTTACATACAAGAAATGGTAATGCCAAGACCAAAGGATTTCAGAGTGAGGTTAGAACCACAGGCCCAGATGGGATCTATTTTTAGTTCAGAAGGTAACTTTGAAAAGTAATAGAGAATGTTAACATACTAAGTTAATGAAACTTCAGTCAGAAAGCTGGAATCCTCTGCTTACATTAGTGAATGAAGGCCAAACTACAGGATGTGGCATTCAGGTATTAAGAAAAGAAAATCGGCCACCCCTAGCACCCAGGAGGAGCCTTCCAGGCCACCTTACCAGAGTCCTCAGAGCCAAGAAGCAGAGCTGTCCCCAGTGCCGAAGAGGAGCCTTCTGGGCTGCCATACCACCGCTCCCACCGCCAAGGAGCAGAGGCCCCCCAGTACCTAGGAGGTGAGCCTCACTGGTGCCAAAGGCACACAATCCCCCCCCACACACACTGACACGAGAAGACGCATAAAAAAGTCCCAAAACCAGACTTCCAGATCACCTAAAGCAACCCCAAAAGGAAATGAGATGGAAAAATCTCATTCTCAAACACCTGTACTCCTTGAACTGGCAACAAAAGAAGATCAAGAAAAAATGAAATCAGAAATAATTTCTCAGATAACAACAGAGATTGTGGCCATAGTACAAGATATGATTAATAAATCTAGAGAGTACACAGATAAAAAAATAGAGGAGATGAGGAACATGATGGAATCCCAACATAGGAAACAAATGGAATCCATGAAACAGATATAAACAGATTTCCAGGAGATAAAAACTTCATGGAAAGTTTATGCAGCATAATGAGCCAATGTGAGGACAGAATTTCAGATATAGAAGATAAGATTGCAATTAGTGACCAGGAAAAAAAAACTCTTTAAAATAGTAAGAGACCATGAGAAATCAATCCAGCAGTGACTAGATAATGCAAAGAAAAATAACATAAGACTGATCGGACTCAAGGAAGAAACAGGAGACAGTGCAGATGACATAAAAAAACTTCACAGAAGTGATGACAGAAAACTTCCCAAACTGGGGAAAAAAAACTTGACATACAGTTAAGGGAGGCACACAGGATTTCAACTAGCTGAGATAAAAAAAAAATCTACACATAGACATATAATAGTTAAGATTCCAGAAATCCAACAGAAGAACAAAATTCTACAAGCAGTTAAGAGAAAAGAAACAAATCACATACAAAGGAAAGACCATCAGAATCACAGCAGACTTCACAACACAAAGCCTCAAGGCAAGAAGAGCTTGCAGTGATGAATTGCAAGCCCTAAAGGAAAACAGCCTCCAACCCAGATGGATGTACCCTGCAAAAAT